ACGGAGGGGTCCCGGATCGGGATCGGGATCGGAGGCTCTCCAGACACCGGATGACTGCCTCCTTCCAGTCGAGGTTGGTGGTGTCTGGGAGCTCCACGGGGCGATGGTAAGTAATCCCGATCCGGAACAGCATCATGAGGGTTTGCCCCTTGAGGGAGCTGGTGAGGGCGAGCAGCACGAACGCACTCGCGTAGCTGACAGGGTCAGGGCTCGTCTGAGCCACGGCGATGAACATCGCTCGTTCCTTCATGTGAGCAGGGAGAAATGAAAGGAAAGCAAAACACTTTTAAAAACGGGGAGAAGGGGCGCCGCTTACTATATTGTCTGGTCTGGAATTCTGTCACAGGTTTCCACGAGGAGACAAAGGAGCATGGAGACGAAGAGGATTAACAGGAAACAGTCTTTATTTCTCCAAATAAAGAACACACAGACAGGAACTCACACATAGGACGAGGGGTTGACATTCAATTCCAGACAAGGGAGAACAGAACGGGCTTGAACTCAAATAGCATATAACGAGGGGCAGACAGGTGAAGACGATAACTAAAAACAAGGAACAGGTGATTGCTAATAATGGGAAAAGGAACTGGAAGGACCAAATAAGTAAAAACAGGAACTAAACAGTAACACACCTGTGACAGATATTCTCAGATATCACCTGAGATCTCAAATTTACAATTTTTTTCAGAAAAGAAGCTCAAGAATCTTTCACATAGTTCATTTGATGGATTTGGTATACAATTAACAGATGGATTTAAGAGAGCATTTATGACGGAAAACAAAACATTTGGCTTATTTTGATTGTTTAAAATCAGACTAGAGAAATATGCTGCCTTTGCAGACTTAGCAGCAGTCTGGTAGGTCAGAAGAGAAGACTTATACACCTCATGTGAAGATTGAAGTCTATCCTTTTTCCATTTTCGCTCTGCTTTTCTGCACGGTTATCATAAAGAGCGGATTTCGGGAGTTAACCACCTTTCAGATTTAGTTTTTTGTTTAAAAACTTTGAGAGGAGCAGTCACATTTAAAATGTCCATCCATACATTATTTAGCATCTCAAAATGTTGGTCGACATTCAGATCAAAAAGTGATATGTCGAAGAACAACTGTGAGCTCAGTTCCTTAAAAAGCACGTTAAAATCCAGGTGGAACCGAGAGGAATAAGTCCGAGACAGCTTAACAACATCACAGAGAAGGTAGATTTGGTAGTGACAAAGAGAATAAAATAGGCTTGTGGTCAGAGATAATTGCATTAGAAAGCTCAAGCTCAGAAATAGAAAGCCTATAAGTGAGCACTAGGTCCAAAGTGTGCCCTTGTAGATGGGTGGGCTCATTTATCCACTGTGTAAGGTTAAAAGATTCCATAAGACTTAAAAACTCCTTTGAAAGGGAGTTTGATGGGCAACAAACATGAACATTAAAATCACCAACGATTATAAAACGATCATAATTTGTAGTGATTTACCCCATTAACTCCTTAAGTTCAAGAATAAAATATTTAACCAGATGTGGCGGGCGATACAACACAGCTAACAGAATAGGACCGTTCCACTCAAAACTTAATAGCTGAGCTTCAAAACTGGAAAAAACTTTTGCAACAATTCTCTGAGAGCGAGAGAAAAAAGTATTTTTTAAAACAGTCACTACGCCGCCCCTCAACCATTTTGCCGGGGAGAATTAAAAAACGAGCAATCGTTTGGAACCAGTTTGGAAAAAGGACTTAAATCTCCTACCTGAGTCCAAGATTCAGTGATAAACATGAAATCCAACTTATGAGAGGAGAAAAAATCATTCAGCAAGAAGGTCTTATTTACCAGCGAACGAGCGTTTATCAGAGCCAATTTCGGTTGATTTATGGTGCTGGAGGTGGCCGGGACTCTGTGCAAAGAGCGGAGATTTTCAGAATTTGCCCCAGTTTGCCGCGTGCCGAAGCTGATGTGAAGAGATGCAAGACGAAGGTCAGGTGAGCAGTAGGAGAAGACAGAGAGAAGCCAGCGGGAGGGAACAACCAGCGAGGACCAGACAGCAGCAGAACGGTGAACCAGCTTCCAGGCCGGAAACAGTATGCTGGATTCACAACTAGGTGTAATTTCCATCTGAAGGAGATCCCAGCCTGTCTGCCGTGCTTCCTCCTACGTTTCCTTCATGTTGGTTCAAGAGGCCAATGGCATATACAGCCCCATATATCTGATGGCAGGGATCCACACGGTTCAAAGATAAACCGTGCTGCACCATCTTTGCTGCTTGCCAGAAATGAGGTATGAATGTCCAGCAATGTTTGACAATCATAGGTCAGCAGTGCATAACAATTTGGAGACGGGAAGATGAACAAGACAGACAGACACAGATAGAGCAACAAACTGCAAGCCATCAACGGCTCCATCTTTCTCTTTTTGAAGGGAAAATGGAGGAGGGTGATAAGCGGAAAGCTCAAGCAACTCACAAGTGAAAGCTGGGAAGCATTTTGGTATAAAGGTCAGGTTAGGCCTGAGAAAGACCTTTTCTCCACTAAGAGAGAATGTAGTGCACGAGGGATGAACAGAGAGTGCGTGCAAATCACTGACACGTTTGGCTGACGCCAAGGCCAGGAGCAGAGCTGTCTTGAAAGACCCGGGGGCTCAAAAGGCTGTTGAGACAAGGCCTCCAGCACCATGGAGAGGACCCATTCTGGAACTACTCTTCTAGGGACTGGAAGGGAACAGTGGGCACCCTTCATAAATCTACGAATAAGGGGGTGTTGCCCTACCGTAGTTCCGTCAAACCCAACGTGACATGCAGTGATAGCCGCTAAGTAAACCTTAATGGTGGAGAAGGGTTTCCCACCATCGATGAGGTCTTGCAAAAAACCCAAAATATCAGCGACTGAGCACTGATATGATATCAGCTGGCGCCCCTCGCACCACTCCTCAAACACACGCCACTTGCAATCATAAAGGGAGTGTGTAGAAGAGGCTCTGGCATTCTGAATAGTAACAACAACACGTGGGGAGAGCCCCAATGTGTTTAAGTTTGCCATTTAAGGTCTGTGCATAATGGGAGGGGCCATGTCTGGGCATAGAGAAGAGGGATTATCTCTACCAGCCATGGAGATTTGGGTCATCTGGGTTCTATCAATATCAGAGTCAGGCTCTGTTCTTTCACCCTGACCAGAGTAGGAGTTATTAGACAGAACGGAGGAAATGCGTAGAGCAGCACATTGGGCCATGGGTGGGCCAGTGCGTTCACACTTTTTTCATTTTGCACAAGGTGAAGAGATCGATGGCCGCCTGACCAAACCTCTTCCACAGCAGACCCAAAATCTTAGGGTGGAGGTGCCATTCTCAGTAGAGTGGGTTCCCCCTCGACAAAAGGTCTGCACCCCTGTTCAAAATGCCTGGAACATGGGTCGCCTGTAATGACAGAAAGTGCCGCTTGCTCCATACTAACAGCTTGTGAGCAAGAGATAGAAGCTTTGAGGAATACATCTAACCTTGGCGGTTGATATGTGCCATGGCTGTGGTGTTGTCGCAACGCACCAGCACGTGATTGCCCTGCAGGCAGGGCAGAAAATATTTCAGAGTCTTCCAAACAGTAGACCCACTATCTTAGGGTGGAGGAGCCATTCTCCATAGAGTGGGTTCCCCCTCGACAAAAGGTCTGCACCCCTGTTCAGAATGCCTGGAACATGGGTCGCCTGTAATGACAGAAAGTGCCGCTTACTCCATACTAACAGCTTGTGAGCAAGAGATAGAAGCTTTGAGGAACACATCTCACCTTGGCGGTTGATATGTGCCAAGGCTGTGGTGTTGTCGCAACGCACCAGCACATGATTCCCCTGCAGGCAGGGCAGAAAATATTTCAGAGCCTTCCAAACAGTAAGGAGCTCAAAATAATTTATATGGGCTGAGTGGAGTGTGCTCTTCCACACACCGTTCACTGTTCTACCCTCCTGGGTGGCCCCCCATCCTGTTAAGGGTCTGTCGTTACCAATTTCCGCAACTTGATGGCCCCGAGAGGGGTTCCCTGAGTGTAAAATTCTGCATTTCTCCAGTGGTGCAGCACTGCTGTGTATGAGCACGTCACTGTGACAGAGCGGCAGAGATCGCATTATGGGCTGAGATGAAGAGATAAAACCCACTTCATGAACTGAGCTGTGACATGAGCGAGCACACGGGCAGTGTTTTGCATCACTGCATCATAAGGGGCTGTCCCTTACTTGACACTGGGCACGCACTCCTGTCTGTCAAGCCAGACTTGGTGCAATTGGATGCTTCTGCAGAGGTCAGGCATGGATGCCCTTCCCCCATAGGTGGATCTCAATCACAAGATGATGAAAGAGAACAATGCTGTATTTGTTCAGTACATGTGCATACCGAACTGTATAAATATGTGTACTGTTACACCCCTAATAGATATAGAAGACACCCCTTTTCTATTGCCAGTTTGTGTAATTAAGCTTATCTATGAAATTAATCTATGAAATTAAACATACTTTTTGCAATGGTTGAAACACCTCTTAGTCATACAACTCAACCATCTACATAACTTTTCAGTGCATATTTCCTTTTATATATTATGTAACACATAACAATGTTTTGTTTTAAGTGAACCTTGTTTTAAATGACCTGAAAATATATGATATACAGAAAGTGAGCATTCCCTATCACTTAAGTGGCCAGTGACCAGTGACTTTGGTCCTGCACACTGCACACACACACACACACACACACACACACAATTCTCCCAATATATAATCAAAGAAACTGTCTGCACTGCAAAATAAATCTTCTCAGATTTTTTTGCCCCAAGCCCAGATTAATTTTCGACCATGATATGATGTAAATTCCTATGTAAATTATCTCTGTCATTGTTGCTTTTTGCTATAGTTTATTTTAGTGTATAAAAAACTTTGGTGTTAAAGCTTTGGAAACTGAGGCTAATGAAACAGCCTCTGATTATAATGGTTTGATAAAGTTATTTTACTTTATTTTTATTTTCATTGTTGTCTGTTTCTCTTTTAGTGTTTCCTCAGCTGTACTTCCATATGCTGCGTCAGAGGAGGAGGGTGCTTCATGGAGAAATTGTAGTAGAGAAAGATGAGTAGAAATAAACAACTAATAAAAAACCCAGGTAGCCATCAGTTATTTAAGAAAAGTTTCCATCAGTTTATGCTCAAAATAAGAAAAACATAAAAACATAAAATTCAAATAAATTCGACAATTATTAGTTACGATATATATTCTTAGTAGAACCTTTGCTAAGGTTCACCACCCTTCCAGTTGTGTTTAATTTCACAAGGTCAAAATGACTACAATCATCAAAGGAGATTAGACCTAATGGGCACTCCAGTCTTCTGGGTAATCATAGATCTGCACTCCCTAACAATTTTCACACCCAATGGAGATGCCCATCTTTTTTGAAAAAGAGTCTTGGACTGGGATCTGGCTTTACTAACAATTATCTATAGCTTGGACTAAATTGTGGTTTTGTAATTACAGAGATACTATGGTAACCCATTCTGCAAATTCTAGGTCTTCACATTGATTTTTTTATTCCATTTATGTGTAAAAAACTACTCTCATGACAATATCTAGATATCATATCAATGTTCTTATGTTTAACAAGATAGGTTTTAAAAAATCTAAAATATGAGAACTATATTTTTTAAATGTATACAACAAGTGATTAAAGCTCACCCATGTTAAATTTTTTGTCCTAACCAGCAGAGACTGTGAAAAGCAACAGAAAATTTTGTCGATTGATTGGTTTCTAGATTTGGGATGTTACTCTGGGTATCCCCACCCACCGTGATATCTCATTAGTCCAAAATCCCACTCTTCGTATATATTACACATCAAATATGGGTGTCTTTGTACCAACATGCAGAAGTTTCACAGAAGTTTGGACAGAAAATGACATAAAACTAGCATTGTTGGGATATATTTTTTTACAATTCAGTATGCACAATGATTATCTTTAATGCTTCAGTGTTTACAATCCAAACTAGAGTAAATAAACTGGAAAAAGTTTTGTACAGGTAGTGCTATATAAAACAAGCAGCACATCCTAGGATAATCATAGACTAGTTAGATTTTTGTTGCTAAAACCCTAGCTATCAGACCTTCTGTGCTGTTGTTATTTTTTATTTATTTATTATGATTTTTTTTTGTAAGAAACTTGTTCACATGTTCTCTTTTTGAGTAGATTCTCTCTCTACGGTGCTACAATATTTAATTCTTCTGTGCAGCTGAGTAGAGAAAACGGCAGGATTTGGAGTGAGAAGTGGAGGAATTGACATCATTAAATAGAATTGTGAAGTCTTCAAACAAATATTCTCATGTTATTTAATTTAATACCTGGTAATTGAACTGAATGAATAAAGGTCTTAAGAAAAAGAAAGAAAGAAACCATAAAAGAACTTTGACTAAATGAACTTGGGCATTGTTCTCTTTGATAAATGTTTAGACTGTAAGCACCCTCAAAGAATAGAGTTGTATTTGTTAATAATATTGAAAGAATAGATTAAATGTATAAAAAATGTCAGAGAATGAAAATAATCTTTATTATCCCCCAGGGGAAATTTGTCTTGGACTGAAGGTGCATTTACATTAACAATACATTGGATCCATAAACAATAAATACAACAATACATAATAATAAAAACCCACCCTATAAAAACACAAGTCCCTATACCTACCCTTGCATTATTAAGATACCCTCCCCATAAAAACAGTCCCTAGTGTTAGACTTTGAGTGAAAAGCTTATGGATAGTTATGGATGCACATAAATATATTGTATATGCATACACACACACACACAGAAAGAAAAAAATATATCATACAGCCCAACCATGCATACAAAAAAAACAAACTCAAACTTGCAAGGATTCTTCCATTTCTGCATCTAAACATCTACAAACCTAAAAACCTGAAAGTTTGAGTTTAATTCATGTTAGAGCAATAAATAAATAAATAAATAAAAGAAGCCGAGACAAGCCAAGACAAACTAATGATTTTCTGTTTTTTATGGATTAACATTGAAGACAGAAACAGCTGGTAAATGTGGTCGCTTTAATATTCACATCCATCCACCAGATTTATTACTCAACAGTTTATGTTCACGTGAGACATAAACGAATGTTTTCGATTATGTTTGCCAAGCTATCATGTATTTTGAAATATTCTTGTCTGTGTTTGTCCAAGAGGAGTCTTTCTTATTGAGAGTAGCGAGGATGAATGCGGTCCGGAGCACGAGCATCCGAGCTGCGACGCGTTGCTCTGCAGTTAGACAAAAAATATCTCACAAGCACTCATTTTACCTCTATAATATGTTCTTCTAAGTGTATTGTCTTCATTCACTGGAGTGTTTTAATGTAGAAGGCTTTAACACAGTTATCTCTGTGCAGCCCCCCTCTCAATACTGTTGTTGTTTCTGCCCTGTTCTCAGTGCAGCTTGCGTTATTACTGGCCAGATATGCAAATTTAGTATACCTGGGTATTAGACGCTCATTGGCTTATTTCATCTATCAGCTGAGAGCCCGCCTAACAAGCGTCGCTATTGATTATATGGGAATTATATGTGTGTTTTATCTCGCGGAGTGGGTAACTTGTTCAGGCTGCTCGTAGCCTCTCTTACGGCAGGATTGGATGTCGTTCCCATAGCGGAAAAACCTAGGGAACGTCTCCGGTTACTAACCTCGGTTCCCTGAGAGCGGGAACGAGACTTCGCGGAAGTCGGCGAGTTCGCTGCTCGACCAGCTCGAAGCGGCGTTCAGTATCAGATTCTGACATAATCGTCGTGTGCACCGCATTTTATACTGCCTCTGGAGCTCATTAGTATTTGCATGCGATTTGCATACTTTGCGACAATTGGCCAGTCAATTGGACTGGGTTGAGCCAATAGGACTTCGGGAAAAGTTGGAAGAGTTCCCATAGCGGAGAAACCTCCTCGATGTCTTATTCCCACTCTCAGGGAACCGATGTTATGAAAGTAACCAGAGACGGTTTTTGTTGACAATGTTTCCAGCTGATGAAAACAGGTGCAGCTCTGACCTATATGACAGGCAGGGGCCTAGAAGGGGACGGGGGCATGTAAATTTGGACAGCATAAGTGATTATCCAGTTAAGCTATGCGGACCCGGATACGGGTCCAAAGTCACGTTAAAAATGTGTATGCTTCATTTGCATAGCCTTTCTTATATGGTATCAGCCCATATATGGGTTCATTTGAAAGCTTGGAGTGTCTTCTTTACAAAGAATACCATTTCTTTTGGTTTTTATATTCATAAAGCAGTAAAATTAAGCTTAGAAATGTATTCGTCCCACACGAATATCCCACACGATTTTCCGCCTAGCCATTGCAAACTTTTTTTACGAAGAATGTGTATATGATATATTTTTTACAATAAAGTCAAGTCATATATCACAAGAAAGCTCTCATTCTCAGGATTATCTATAGCCTAATGTTTTTATGTAAAATTATTTAGTTTTTCATAGAGTGGAAACTGAAGCGCGCTTTGCAGGACATAGAGAAGACAGCGCAATCACTCCGTCATTTTTGCTCATAAAGGTAAGAGTAATACATCATTCGTAACTGTAAAGGGTCTACTTTTATTTGTGTGCACTCACAATATCAACAAAACGTTGTGCTTTAATAAAATAAAGAAATCAAACATGATGCGCTTTCTGCCATCTCTTCTTCAACAGGAACGCTTCACAAAACTGAACCGAAACTCAGCGAATGTCTCACAGACATGATAAATATATCTATAGAAAGCTTTAAATTACTACTTAACGAAATAAAACAAATCAAAAACAAAAATTCTTTCATTATAATTATAATCTGTAAAGACGCACTTCTCTCTAAAGCCACGTCTAATGAAGAGATGTCGAGTCAGGATCAACAACTTCATCCTTGCGACACCGACTCAGAAAACACTAGTTTATTAGTAAACAATTAAAATAACTCCTTACTGTTTCCCCCTGACGCTTTTATGGTAATTACTTTTGCCGTTGCTTTGCGGCAAGCTTAAGCCTATTGCGTGCATTTGAACGTAGAACTCTTCAGCAGTGCTGACAGCACGCTCCATACATACTGCTGCTGCAGGACACTAAACACCGTCGAGCCACTCTTGACAGTCACAGTAGCACGGTCTCGTGTTGTTTCCACCAGCGCAGCAATCTTTTTTCATCACTAATTGATGGATGTCTAAAATATAAAAATAAGGAGAAGCTTAAAACAGGCACGAGGCCCTGCTTTAGGCACGAGTCTGAACTAAATTGTCCCGAAGCCCAGCTCAAGGGGCATAAAAAAGTCAGGGCTAAAATGCAAGGCTCTAGCTCTGATCTAGCACACAGAAAACGATTTGACTGAAAATTTATCAGAAGAGATGAAAGAAAGATAGTGGTCATCTATGCAATTCAGAAAAAGAGGCGGCTTTTCTGCATTAGGTATGTTTTTTTTTTTTTTTACTCTTTGTATTGTTCATTCTAAATTTATTTTTTAAATGTAGAATATGTGTTACATAAATACATGAAATGTAGAACATATAAAAAGTGCTGGTGTGTCGTGGAACAAACAATGGTCTTTTTCGAAGTTGTCAAAAAAGCTCAAGAAGCAGAGTTCCAGATGTCAAAATAAGACTTTATTGAGCACAGCAACAAAGCCGAGATGACAGCCGCTGCATCTGAGTCTTTGTCCGTTCAGGCACCCATATTTATACCCCTTTCCCTTACCAAAGTTGGTAGTTCCGTTTTTTTTTATCGGTTATGCCTGTCTGGTTTGCCACAATTTATTACTAGCACACCTGGTCCATCTTTTAATGGTGGAATTTGGCCAAATCAACCATTTTTTTTTAAACTTTCAGTTTGCCGCTTCCCATTGGTTGGCAGTGGTCCCATGAGACAAACCATTTTTAAAAAACTTTCATTTTGCTGCTTCCCATTGGTTGGCGGTGGTCCCATGAGACATACATCAAATCTGTTTACTCCTTACTGTCAACTTCTGGAAATCACCCAAAGTTCATTGGGTTACTCAAGTTCACTGGTACAATCCCATGTAAACCACTGACACTGCCTGATGGAAGGGCCCTCATACATACAATCTTCATTAAGACATCCAGTATTGGG